CACGGGGGGTGGTGGGGGGGGGGGTGGTTCTCTGGGTTCGGGCTATATTCCGAGCTCGGAGCCCTCCTTAAAGACAGCATGCCAAATATGCTTACTATTTGCTAAATCCGATTATACGTAAGTGCGAACTCGTGAAACGTAGTAAGGACATCGGTAAAATAGTCCATGTGACATCAGTGGTTCAACCGCAATTTTATGAAGCTACGAGAATAGTTTTGTGCGCAAAGAAAAATAACGATCTGCGGCACTCTCGTGAATGGTCACGTGGACTATTTTACAGATGTCCTTACTACGTTTCTGGACCTGAGAACGTTGCAGTTGCGTTGTTGTCTATGGAGGGTCAGAAAGCTCTCGGATTTCATCAAAAATATCTTAAAGGGGACATATGAGTCCATGTGACATCAGTGGTTCAACCGCAATTTTATGAAGCTACGAGAATACTTTTTGTGTGCAAAGAAAACGACTTAATAACTGAGTAATAAATGACAGAATTTTCATTTTTGGGTGAACTATCCCTTTAATAGTGAATATGTGTTCCCTATTCTGAAGTGGAACAATTTTTGTCAATTGAGACCTTGCTGAATAAAATATAAATTTCTTTAAAAAACCTATTGACACTAAACATTTGAATGGTAGCGCATGCGTGTTATGACATGCTAACCGCAGAGCTCCTGCCTGTATGGAGTGTCCAAATCAGTGACTTATGAGGTTTCATGATGGTTAGGATACTGCCTTAGAAGCAAGTTGGGTTTTGAAACAGAGCTTATAAGTGTTTGTGTGTGATACATATATAATTTTCACAGACACAGGAAGGAAATACGGGACAGACGGGGTGGGAGAAGACCTACAGTATGACACACTCAAAGCACTGACACATTTTGGATGAGAAGGTTCCAGTTAGCCTGGCATTCCTATGGTTGCCATAGAGATACAGAATGAGAGGAGATGCTGAGCGAAAGACTGTGTCACATTCTGCTGCCCTCTGGTGGATGTACGCAGCATCCCCAATTGCAAAAAAAAAAGAAGAAAGAAATGACAGAGGGAGAAACGGCTACTGGAACACATCCAAGTTTCATTGGCTCGTTTTTGTGTTTGCATGCATTCGTGCGCACATGTTAACGTCTGAGCCTTGTCTCCCATGCGCAGGTTGGAGAGATCGAGGAGCAGCTCACTACCGCCAGGAGGGAATTAACTAAATCTGAGGAAGCCAATCAGAAGCTTCAGAGGGATGTGAAAGAGGTGGGTCAGAAGTTAAGTTCTCATCGAGAGCGCTTCAAAACAAAATCAAGAGCCCTATGTCACGCAACCATGGTTTTGCTGTCATCCCGCCTCCCTTCCCATTTAGAAGGGTTTCCTGCCACGATGCAGTGATTAATTGCCGGTAAAGTCCTCTAGTTGTTGATGGGTGTGCCTGTCAGCTAGAGCGAGATCAATCAAACTGCCAACAAAATAATCAGCTGTCTATCTGACATTCCTCATGGAAGAAGTCTAATTTTCTGTATAATAGAAGCACGCTGTATTCTTCAGCGGTAACACAAAGACTTGCCAACTCGGCAGCGGCGCCCGTTTCATGTCACCGACTCGCTACTTTTCCGGAATTGCCGCTAGCTACCGTGCTGGCTTGGTGTCCTATTTACGTTGGATGCCTTGAGCAGATTTTTGCTTATAATCTGCTTCCACTCATAAAGTACAGTCTCGATAATGGCGAGTGAAGGGGTTTTTTCCTCATTTCCCAAGACGCGTTGCCTTTCGTTCTTTTTGCTACGCTCGTCTTTCATCGCCTCGTCTTCCTCCCTCATAGCAATTATGTAATATTCGATACAGCTCTTTTGGTTTCGCATCGCACTAACTGTTTATAGTCAGCTCCATTTGAGGTAAACAGTTACGGTGCACTCTAGACAGACGCCCGACTGTAATAATGTTACCGAATGGTCTGATTGTGATCGTTTTGTGTACGTTTGTGCCTCTGCAATCAGTTAACCATATGTTGTTGTCTTTTATTCTTTTTGACGTTTTCTCTCTTTTATCTCACATTTTTCCACCCCCTCAACCGCAGGCGCTGTGTCAAAGAGAGGACATGGAGGAAAGAATCACCACCTTAGAGCGCAGGTAAACTAGACCAGATCTCACAGCTGTTTTGTCGCATGGTTTGACCGCACTTTGGAAAGACACAGATAGAGTCGCAGTTTTGATTTCTCAAGCGCCCTGCAGATCCTCACCGTGTGTGTTTCTGTCTGTAGGTACCTCAGTGCCCAGAGGGAGGCAACCTCTCTCCATGACATCAAAGACAAGCTGGAGAACGAGCTTGCCAGCAAAGAGTCTTTATACAGACAGGTACAAAAGAAAAATAATGTACAGACAGACATGAAAGGTGTAACTATTGAAGGATCATTTAACAGCGTGTTTATCAACAGGAGTCTCTGGGGGTTATTCTCAGGGTATGGCGCCATTTGCGCCTGAAGATTTAGTTTTGTTGGTGTTTCATCTAAAAACATTTCAAGACTTTTCTTTCTTTTCAATTAATTTTCAAGAAATCCTTCACATTTTAACACCTCAAGGTATCAGGGCTATAACTACCATGGAGAGCCACTATAGGCCCCTCCAATATTCAGATTATTGGTCAACAAATAGGCCTAGATTTTTTTGTTGCTACCCACAACATCCAACTATGATTTTTTTCCCATAAATCTAAATTAAATAGATAGGGCTAAATAATTTTGATTTTATTTTTCATAGGAAAAAACATAAACAGTAAAAAAACGTGATATTTGTGTTTAGATAAAAGCTTAATTCAATGATTTTAATTTAAAGGTTTATATTAAATATAATTTGAAATAACATTCAAATGGTTGGTAGGATTTTTAAATGGTTATAAAATAAATGCTCTTATGCTCACCAAGGCTAAATTTATTTGACCAAAAGTCTGTATAAAATATATATGACCAAAATATTATTACAATTTAAAATAACTGTTTTCTATTTGAATATATTTATGGGGCTCAGATATATTTTTTCTTTGAATCAGTGTTAAAGACAGGAGTGCTGCTTAATATTTTTGTGGAAACCATGCTACATTTTTTTCAGGATTTGTTGATAAATAGGAAGTTCAAAGGAACAACTTTTATTTTTAACTAATGTAAAAGTATTTACTGTCACCTTCAATTCAGTTCATCCTTACTAAATAAAAAGTATTAATTTCTTTCAAAAAAAAATTGTGAAGGGTAGTCTTAATGTTTATTTAATTCTATGTAACCTATTAAAATGTATTGGTTATGAATGGGGACATGTAAACTGACTGATATTCTGACGGATAAAAAAAACTAACATTTTATTTTATTATCACAGATGAATGTTTCTTGAAATTTATTTTCTACCTTTTTCTTTCTTTTTTGCATCTGATTAAAGCTATTCATTCCAAATTTTTATATTTGTACAAAACCTTTTCCCATCAAATCTTTAAGTTAAACAAATCTCGCAATAGGAGATAGTGATATATTTACAGTAAATAGAGATGCACTGCAAATTTAGACATTCTTAGCAAAGGAACCACATGACAGTTTTATTGCACCTAAATTACTGTTTGCATTTAAATCTAAGTGAATTTATTTTGTTGTTTTAAAGGCTTGTGGGTTGAGGTCTGTAATTGTGGCTACAAGAATTTAGAATCTGTTTCCAAGCTTTGTGATGATATGTCCGGACGTGTTGGTTTTACGTAACATGTCTTTGCTGTTCATACATATTGAAATGATCTCTGGTTATAGATAATACCTGATTTTTGTTCAAAATTGTATTTCATTATTATTTTCTTTTGGTTTATTACTAACAAAAAGAAGTTCAATTGTGTTTTCACCAGGTCTCCATCAAAAACAAAGCACTATTTTTTCCTGAAGAGAATGTGTTCATTATGGTGTTCTGTATTGTTTGGCCTCATTGTTCTGTCACTCAGAGTGAAGAGAAGAACAGGCAGCTCCAGGAGCGTCTAGACGATGCTAAACAGAAGCTGCAGCAAACCCTCCAGAGGGCCGAGACGCTGCCCGAGATCGAGGCTCAGCTCGCCCAGAGGGTGGCGGCACTCAACAAGGTGTGTGCTGTCGGGTTCAGATCTGTTTGAGGTGCTATACTATTAACTCGTTTCAAATTGAGAACAGGTCCAAACGAAGTTCAAATGCATTTTATCCTGACTCTGTTGTTTAGGCGGAGGAGCGTCATGGCAACTTTGAGGAGAGACTGAGACAGTTGGAGGCACAACTTGAAGAGAAAAATCAGGAGCTACAGAGGGTGACTCATCCTCTCATTTTTTAATTTGTTCAGCGTGTTACTCTCAAATGTAGTGAAGTATTTTCACTTTGAATGGGCTTTTAGAGTAAAGGTCCTTGCACACTGAGTCCGAAATTTTTGTATGCGTTTTTTTGTACTTGTCATCCTAAAAATTTGTCACACACAAATACCTATGCTTGCAACTGATTTGAAAAACACAGAAAATTTAACCCGATCCAAATTTTTTTGTGACGGATGAAAGTTTCAGAGGCAGTGTGTAAACGTGACTGACACAACATGAGGTTGTATTTGTTTTTTAACGTGCGAAAATTTGGGATGAGAATTTTGGACTTTAACACATTAAAAAACAGATTATTCCAAAATTAAAATGCGAATGCAGAAACATTGAGTATGATATAAGTGTAAATACAATTTTTTGCTCGATTCACAAACGTTTCATTATGAATTTCTAAATGAGATAACATCTGCAACCTGTAATTCTTTTGAAATAAAAAAGTAAATATGTTGATTTTAAAATGTTTAAATATTTGTTTAAACATATATTCATATTAAATATATTTAATATTATTATTGTAAATATAAAAAATGTACTTATATGTTTAAGTATATTTCAAATACAGGTAAAAATAACAATAAGCAACTCATCTGCTGCTTCTGAAACCAATTTAGCTTTATACAGGTGGATGTATAAATACATATGAGCACATGTGACAAAAACCCATTCACATTTTTAAATAAAAAAAAAACAATTTTATAATTTCACATTTTCATATTCTAAAAAAAACAAAACAAAGTACTTTAAAGTATATTTAAAGTTGACTTCTAGCTTGTAAGAAACTGATCTAAGAAACAACCACATTTCTTGTAGCGGATCCCCATCTGGTGGGAGCAAAATATACTAATAAGAATCAAAATAGTGTTATTCTTGCATAAATCACACAGCATAATCTCTCATCAATGTCACATATCTTTTATTGACTGTTAGTCAAGTATATACTCAAAATTCATCATCCATCTTTCTCTGTCTGTGACTTTTCCCTCTCTTTTTCCTTCAGGCGAGGCAGAGGGAGCGGATGAATGACGAACACAACAAGCGTCTCTCTGACACGGTGGACAAGCTTCTGTCAGAGTCCAATGAAAGACTGCAGCTGCACCTGAAGGAGAGAATGGCTGCCCTGGAGGAGAAGGTGTGATCCTCCACAATTTCAGATTTGATTTCCTTGACTACGTTGCATGCACATCCAGAAAACAGAAAAATAGCCTTGACATTTCACCACGTCTTTGATGTTTACCTCAAAAATCCAGATGTTGCCTCAATTATGTTTGCGTCTAATAGGAGTTCCAGGCTTCCTCTATGTGTCCTCACTCATTATTTCAGCACAAAAGCAGGTGTTTCATGCTCAATGCATTTCTCATCAGAGAATCTGTGATAAATGGCTGAAACATAATTTGCGCTTAATGTTAGAAACAGAAGACATGTTCCTGAAAACAGAACACATCAGACTGGAGTGGTCTAGGAATGTGCCAAACCACATATTTTCAAAATCTACTAGTTGTAGGATGCCTGAACAACCACTGTAGTTAACTAATCAGTTTCGAGGAAGTATAATTAGGCTGTTTCTGGTTCCTCTGAGCGCAGTTGGATGTGCTTGTAAGAGGCCATTTACTAAAGCCGTGTTCAAAAACAGAATGAAGAAGAACATTTTTAACAGTTAGGAAAGCTATTTTTAACCCAACATACTGTTTTAAAAACATATGATGCTCAGGGATCTAAAGGTCATGTAAATATGAGGAAATTTCAAAAGCATGATTTCTAGGTCTAGAACATCGTAGAAAAATAATCAAATATTGGCTATATTTTTCTACTTATATTTTTAAGTAATTATTTTTATTTACTGTTTTATCTAATCTAATTATTATTATTGATTATTTTTTAAGAATTAAAGGATGAACCTAAATTAACCTCTGTTCATCAATTTGCACTGGCTACCAGTAGCTGCTCGCAATAAATTCAAGGCATTAATGTTTGCCTACAAAACCACCACTGGCTCTGCACCCATTTACCTAAATTCATTACTTCAGAGTTATGTGCCCTCTAGAAGCTTGCGTTCTGCAAGTGAACGGCGTATTATTGTGCCATCTCAAAGAGGCACAAAATCATTTTCACAGACTTTTTCATTAACTGTTCCCTCCTGGTGGAATGACCTGCCCAACTCAATCCGAGCAGCTGAGTCCTTAACCATCTTCAAGAAACGACTAAAAACACATCTGTTCCACCTTTATTTGACCCTCTAACTCTAACACTTTCTATTCTATTTTAATTCTACTTTATATTTATCTTTTTTTTTTATTAAAAAAAACAACAAAAAACAAACAAACACTAGCTTTCTATTTTTTCTAGCTGGGCGGTCTTCGTACCGCAGAGACAAACGGGAGAAAAAGGACAACCAAAAAACTGTTCAAAAACGAAAATAAAACAAAGGAGCGCCGCTTACTGTTTTGGTCAGTCGTTCTGTCACGGTGCACACACACGAGGAACACGGGAACGAAGGAGCGAGGAGACACGGAGTAGAATAAATCAAAAGGGTTTTATTAACAAAGGCTGGGGATCACAGGACTCGACACATCAGGATGACAGGATGACGTTCAACGACTGACAAAGGACAAGAACTAGAACACACTTTAAATACACAGGAACTGATGAGGGGAAGACAAGGGACACCTGGAACTAATGACAATCAACATAGGAAACACCTGGGAACAATGAATTCAAAACACGAGACAGAGAAACTGGATGACGGAGCACATAGGGAGCAAAGACACACAAAACCTGGCCCAGAGTCTGACACGTCTACTGCGTTAGGCTAACCGAGACTTGTCATTTGCACTTATATTTTGTTGCTCTTTTGTTAGTTTTGACTGCTTTTATTGTCCTCATTTGTAAGTCGCTTTGGATAAAAGCGTCTGCTAAATGACTAAATGTAAATGTAAAGGGATAGTTCACCCAAAAATGAAAATTCTGTCATTAATTACTCACCCTCATGTCGCTCCAAACTCGTAAGACCTTTAATCATCTTTAGAACACAAATTAAGATATTTATGATGAAATCCGAGAGCTTTCTGACCCTCCATACACAGCAACTCAACTACCACTTTCAAGGCCCAGAAAGGTAGTAAGGACATTGTTAAAATAGTCCATGTGACATCAGCGGTTCAACCGGAATTTTATGAAGCTACGGGAATACTTTTTGTGTGCAAAGAAACAACTTTATTCAACAATTTCTTCTCTTCCGTGTGCATGCGTGTGCATTCCTCTGCTTTTAAACTAGCCGCAGGAGCCTGCTTTCTGACGTAGAACCCGGATGCGCTGCGGCTAGTTTTGGTCGTGTCGAGGTACTCTCGTGAATGTGCACTGAAGTCTGACACGGAAGAGAAGAAATTGTTGAATAGTCTTTATTTTTGTTTTCTTCGTGCACAAAAAGTATTCTCGTAGCTTCATAAAATTACAAACCACTGATGTCCCTCTGGTATTGCCATGCAAACTAGCTAACAGCTAAATATGGCACGCTCAGATAGTATGCTAATTTAAGCAGAACCATATCAAAACCTAAAAGTGAATGTTAATATAATCTAAACTAGCCAACCTCATCTGACTAGTTGGTTGACCGATCAGCTATTTCTCCATTGTGACCCATCCTACCATGATACTAACCACGCCACTTTCATGAGTTTGATTCCCAGGGAACACACAAGATTAATTTGGATTAAAAAAAAACTTACAACTGAATGAATTTATATGTAAGCATCTGGTGTAATGTGTTACAGAACGCTCTCTCTGAGGAACTCGCTAACATGAAGAAGATCCAAGATGATCTCTTAGCGAACAAGGTACGTTTGTCTTTAAACTATAATGCTATTGTAAAAAAAGAAAAGAAAATACAGCTCTGTTGACTTGACCTGTGTCCAGATGGCTCCATTATCTGATACTAATATATTTTTCCTCCCAGGATCAACTGATTGCAGAGCTGGAGAGGATTCAACTAGAGCTGGACCAGCTGAGAGGAAGACCGGGTTCCTCTTACTCACGGTAAGAGGCATACCATTTCTGCTGTCTTCTCATTTAAGTAATTTATCTTAATTTCATGAAATATGTGACTGCTTCATTATAAGATAAGACATTCACAATCAATTTTACTTCAGTATGTAACATTCAAAGTTTGGGTTCATTAAGTTTTTTTTTAAAGAAATGAATACTACTATTAATACTTACATTATTCAAAAGTGATAGTAAATTTATTTATAATGTTACAAAATATTAATATTCAAATAAAGTCTGTTCTTTGGAACTTTCTTTTTACCAAAGAACCTTGAAAAAAGTATCATGGTTTTCACAAAAATATTGAGCAGCACAACTGTTTTTAATATTGATAATAATCAGAAATCTTTCTTAAGCATCAAATCAGCATATTATAATGATTTCTGAAGGATCATGTGACACTGAAGACTGGAGTAAAGGCTGCTGAAAATTCAGCTTTGCTATCACAGGAATAAATTATAGAAATAGAATTTTAAATAGAAAAGTTATTTTAATTCTAATAATATTTCACAATATTGCTTTTACTTTAACATTACAATTATGAAAAATATTACAAAATCTTACTGACCGCAAACTTATGATCAGTATTTTTATTTCTGAGTGGAACAAAATATTTATTGAGGGAAAAACTTAGGACAGGATGACTTTAACCAACAGAAATCATTTGCATTGTGAAAAGTGGGCAAACACTGACCATAAATAGGGGCAGTTTGGATTTTATTGACTGTAACCATGGCCTCCTCTGCGTCTCTATTAGGTCTCTGCCAGGAAGTGCTCTGGAGCTGAGGTATTCCCAGGGAGGTGGGTCACTTCCTGCTGGCTCTACCACTCACCTAGATCATTATGGAAACACAGGCACAGGAGGCGTGGTCAGACGGGCTCATCGTGGACGCTGGGGCGGCACAAGGGAGGACGCTAGCAAAGTGAGAACATCTTTGTATGAACCTGCTAATAAAGGAATAAAAATAGTTTAATATGGATTTAAACAAGTAACCTTTCTCATGTGCAGTACGGCGACTGGGACAACGGAGCTTTGCTGGGCACTGGGTTCGAGGGCGGCGTGGAGGACAGGTGTTCTGATGATGAAGAGGATCGTGAGATGCTCTTTGGATCGGAGCTGCTCTCACCAAGTGGCCAGACAGATGTGCAGACTCTCGCTATCATGTTGCAGGAGCAGCTGGAGGCCATCAACAAAGAGATTAAGTGAGTTTACTGAAGACGGAGGGACTTTGAGACCGCTTGAAAAAACAAACTTTTGCTTAATGGGAAAGACATTTAAAATGGAGAGCGCTCAGAAAGGGAGGTTAATGGGAAAGAGCAGGACACTCGATAAGGAGAGTATATGGCAGGGAACCTAAAAGTATTTACAAAATCAAGTAGTTGGTGAATTGCTTGAACTCAGTCTTAAGAAAACCTTGCTAGTTTTGAGTTTACGTGACCCTGATTGGACGTTTAACACACTACATAATAAATAAATATACATAAATATAATTATATTTATATATGTATAATACTGTATTTATCTATTCAAATGTAGTTTAAAATGTCATGTATTCCTGTGATGGCAAAGCTGCTATGCTGCTTAATATTTTTGTGAAAAAACATGGTTCTTCTAACATTCAAAAGAACTACATTTATTTGAAATATAAACATTTACTGTTACTTTTGATCAGTTTAATGCACCCTTGCTGAATAAAAGTATTAATGTCTTTCAAAAAACAAAAACAAAATTACTAACCTCATACTTGTGTATTTTTTTTTTAGAACAGACTAGTTAGCACTGAATAACTAACTAGTAGATTGATGGACATTTACCAACCTAAAATTTGGTTTATTTCTCTTTGTTTCGTTCTCTCTGTCCTTAGGATTTTGTAAATATAAAAAAGTCTTTTATATAAAAATTTATTTATTTTTTTTTTCAGTTCAAGGCCTGAAATTGGAGCCTTTTCATATTTGTATTAATATTTAATGTTGTATGAGGAAATACAGCACTTGTGATTGATTTCTTGTTGGATTTAAGTAGATTTAAGGTAAATTTGTATTTTATGCTCTATTAGTGGCATTGAAGAGCTTGAGTTTGTAAGTTTCCATTTGTTACCATATGTGTATTCCCTAGGAATTTAAAATTATGGAAAATTAAATTATGCTAAATAAAAATATGATAGCAATTCCCATTTAGGTGGTCTTTTAAAAGGTTTACACCTTTTACACCAAGGACAATAACTATAACTATAAAGTTTCAATAATCGTTAGAACAAAGGGAAGTCCACCGCATAGCTATAAGGATAACGGTATCATTGGATCACTTTCAATTTCAGCTGATGAGCAATAAAAAATTTGACAGCCAACCAGAATCCATCCTGCTTTAAAGAGCTCAGGCATTTAAAATGGTAGATGACAAAACTGCAATGCAAGCTTATAAAAAGAACAGTATCGTCCATTTTTAATGCTAATATAGTTATACGTATAGTTATCTTTATAGATATTATTTTTGGTGGGAACACACTTTTAAAAAGTCTTGAATTTAGCCTCATGATACCTACAGAAGCCGTTGTCTTACCCTCCCTTCATATTTTCTTCAGGCTGATTCAGGAAGAGAAGGAGAGCACAGAGCTTCGTGCTGAAGAAATCGAGAGCAGAGTCAGCAGTGTGGCTCTGGACGGCCCTCCAGTGCCCCCGACCTCTCTAGGGCGGGACAGCACAGGCCGTGGCTTCATCCCCCCATCGCTCACATCCTCCACCCTGGCATCGCCCTCTCCACCCAGCTCCGGGCACTCCACTCCCCGCCTGCCCCACTCCCCAGCGCGCGAGACAGACAGACAGGTAGGAGCGTGTGTGTGATTATTCACAAGCATTGCTATCACGCACTGAATAAACGTGCAAACAGCTGACTCCATTCTGCCCATCAGAACAACAAAGATGACGACAGGTCCTTGGCCCTTCTGGATTCCACCCCTCCTCCCACCCCTCGTGCACTGCGATTGGACAGGATGACACACACTCACCCTGGTGCAATGTTGGATGACAGTCGCGAGTTCCGCAGGTGCGTTAAATCCATCTTTACACAGGACTGAGATTGCACTGTACAAAATGTCTTTCCCTTCACACTTCAGCCTTTTTAAGTGACCTTTCCTTGTCTCTCTCTGTGGATTTCCAGTCTCTCAGCTGATGGCAGCAGCTCAAACAGCAGCCAGGACTCCCTCCACAAGGCCAGCAAAAAGAAAAGCATCAAGTCTTCCATCGGCCGGCTCTTTGGGAAGAAGGATAAGGTCCGAATGGGTCAGCCTGGACGTGAGTCAGCATCTCTGGGTGAGTCTAACTTAAAAAAATACTTAAAGGGATAGTTCACCCAAAAATTCTGGCATTAATTACTCACCCTCATGTTGTTCCAAACCCGGAAGACCTTCTAAAATATTTTTGATGAAAATTTTTGGGTGAACTATCCCTTTAAAAACAAAAAAAGCTTGACAACAAAATAAAAAATAGCTCTGCACAAAATCAGAGGGATATGCTTAAGTTATCTGGAAACATTCCTTAAAGCTCCTAAGAAATTGCTGACTTGTTCCTAATGAAACCATTCGTTTGCTTGGGACATATCAAAGGGCTCATTTGCTTTTTAAATAACAAATAACCTTTATTCAACATGATTTTCTACATGCTAGTTGTTTCCTTTAGCGCTAGTGGGAGAGATATTCTCATTCTAGAGAGCATTTGATTAGACAAAAATCGGTGTAGTACAATATGAGTCATCTCTATTTTTGGTTCATTCTCCTGGAACAGAAAAACTGTATGTTTTATATATGCACACTAGCATTTAAAAGCTTGTGCTTTGTAAGATGTTTTCATGTTTTTGAAATAAGTCTCTTATGCTTGCCAAGGCTGCATTTATTTGATCAAAAATTCTGTAAACACTGTACTATTGTGAAATATTATTACAATTTAAAATAGCTGTTTTCTATTTTAATATATGTGACCCTGGAGCACAAAACCAGTCTTAAGTCGCTGGGGTATATTTGTAGCAATAGCCAAAAAAGCATTGTATGGGTCAAAATTATAGATTTTTCTTTTATGCCAAAAATCATTAGGATATTAAGTAAAGATCATGTTCCATGAAGATATTTTGTAAATTTCCTACTGTAATTATATCAAAACTTAATTTTTGATTAGTAATATGCATGGCTAAGAACTTCATTTGGACAACTTTAAAGGCTATTTTCTTTCTTTTTGCACCCTCAGATTCCAGATTTTCAAATAGTTGTATCTCGGCCAAATATTGTCCTATCCTAACAAACCTCAAATATCCTAAAATCAATGGAAAACTTATTTATTCAGCTTTCAGATTATGCATAAATCTCAATTTCAAAAAATTGACCCTTATGACTGGTTTTGTGGTCCAGGGTCACATATTAAGTTGTAATTTATTCCTGTGATGCAAAGCTGAATTTTCAGCAGCCTTTACTCCAGTCTTCAGTGTCACATGATCCTTCAGATATCATTCTAATATGCTGATTTGCTGCTCAAGAAACATATCTGGTTTCTAAACAAGCCCTGTAAACGATATCTGTAGTATGCAATTAATTACCAAATATTATTATATAACAATGTAAAAATGGTAATCAATGCGGTATTGATAACTGCATCAGGATAAACTGTTTTCAACATCTTAATGTTCCTTTAATGGTCAGTAAAGTGTTTAATATCCACTGTTCATTCAGTCCTGTTCATTTAACTGCCACCCTTAACCTTCCTGTGCCTCCTGTAGCCTCGACCCCCTCAGATGACCTGGGCTCTGTGGATCCCCTCGGACTCACTAAGATGGCCGGTCCGGTGGACAAGGACCGTCGCAGCAAGAAGAAGTAATTTTACTCTAACCAGTCTAGTGTAGTCTTTCTTCTCACTCTGTATCTTATTCTTTGTACTGAATACACTTCTCTCCCTTTCTTTTAGGCATGAGCTGTTGGAGGAGGCATGCCGACAGGGGCTACCCTTTGCATCTTGGGATGGACCCACTGTTGTCTCCTGGCTGGAAGTATGACTCCATATCTGAGCATTGCAATGGATAGAAAGGGGCTTGATTAGTTTTACATTGATAGGTGCTATTATGTTTAAAAATATGGCATTATTGTTTCAGACTGTCTACTTACATTCTCTGTAACTTTGATGTCCTAAGAAAAGGCGCTTCCTGTTAGCACTTTTTTGTTTTGTTTTGTGCTTTCCTAAAGGTCACCTATCTGTCTCTTTCAGCTGTGGGTGGGCATGCCGGCATGGTACGTGGCAGCCTGTCGTGCTAACGTGAAGAGTGGGTCCATCATGGCTAACCTGTCAGACACAGAGATCCAGAGAGAGATCGGCATCAGTAACCCTCTGCACCGCCTCAAACTGAGACTGGCCATTCAGGAGATGGTGTCCCTGACCAGCCCCTCGGCCCCAGCCAGCACACGCTCCGTACGCTCACACACACTTACATACACTCACACACACTCACACACACTTACACACACTTACATACACTCACACACACTCACACACACACACACTTACACACACACACACACACACACTTACATACACTCACACACACATACACTCACACACACTCACACACACTCACACACACTTTCACACACACACACACTCACACACACTCACACACACGTACATACACTCACACACACTCACACACACTTACACACACTCACTCACACACACTCACACACACTAACACACTCACTCACACACACTTACATATGCTAAATGCGCCATAAAAGAAGAGGATTCTTTAATAATTATACAGTGGGGTCCAAAAATCGGAGATCACAATTAAAATACCTTTAAAAAGTTAAAATGAAAAATGACCATACACTACCGTTCAAATGTTTGGGGTCAGTAAGATTTTTAAATGGTTTTGAAAGAAGTCCATGCTCACTAAGGCTGCATTTACATCAAAAATACAGTAAAAAACAGTAATATTCTGAAATATCATTTTAAAATAACTGTTTTCATTTTAATATATTAAAAAGTTCAAAATAGTAACATTTATTTGAAACAGTTTTTTACACCAATGTAAAAGTCTTTGCTGTCTTTCCTGTTTAATACGTCCTTTGCTGAATGAAAGTATTCATTTCTTTAAAAAAGAAAAAAACTACTAACCTCAGACTTTTGAAAGGTAGTGTAAATGTCAAAATGTAATTTTTTTTTTAATGCTGTCAAACGATTAATCGCGTCCAAAATAAAAGTTTTTGTTCACATAATATATGTGTGTATTGTGTATATTTATGTATATATAAATACAAACACATGCATGTATATATTTAAGAAAAATATATTTATTATGTATATATAAATACAAACACATGCATATATACATTTAAGAAAAATAATGTTATGTTTATATATTAAATGCATTTATATATAATATAAAATATAAAAATATAAATATATATACATGTAAATATTTTCAAAATATATACTGTATGTGTGTTTATTTATATATACATAATAAATATGCATAGTACACATACATATAGTATGTAAACAAAATTTTGGATGCGATTTATCGCGATTAATCATTTGACAGCACTAATGTTTTTTTACATTTTTGTTTTATTGACAGCAGCATTTGAGCTGTATGAACTCATATTCTCCAACTTGATTAAAGAATGATCAAAAAAGTCACATGATCAGTATCACAAATGTACTTTATTTACTTGTAATTAGTGGCCTAGAAAGAGTACAGCATCATGAATATTTTTTATTCTATTTATATCATAAAATTACTTAGTTGTATTTATTAAACATTAGAGTTTGAATCCCTGATTTTCAGTGTGATCATAGACATTTCCACCCTACCCAACATAATACTAATAAACAGTAATTCTGATTGTTTTCTTTTCTTACCACAGTCAACCAGTAACGTGTGGATGACCCATGCTGAGATGGAGTCCCTGACCGCAGCAACCAAACCAGTTAGTAGTCACACTTTTTGTGTTATGTCAGTATTTGTTGATGCCTGACTAGATTACTAGTTTGGGAAAAGAACATGTAACAGATCCAAATAATGTGTGTTGAAGCCATCAACTACTAGAATAGATTTAAAGAATGGATATTGACAAAACCTCTTATCCACCAATGACTGCACTTCTGACCGTTTTTGATGTGATACTTTATTGGAACCGATAATAATTTTGTGAATATTTCTGTATTGAGTTTATTTTACTTTTTTTTTTAAAGTAAACCAGGAGTGTTGGATTGTAAAGCGCTCTGCCCCCTAGTGGACAGTATGAGAGGCGGCACAAGGAGAGAGTGGAGTGACCGGACATGTGTTGATGCGGCTCTCTCTTTCTCCCCCCCCATCTGTGTGTCCGGCTAGGCTGTAGCGTTGAACATCCTCAACTTTCCCTCTTTTTTCTGTTTCAGTGTGAACTGCTTCCAACTAATGACCCGGTCACTAACAAACTGTTCCTCCTTTTGTACCTCTCTTCCTGCTTTCCCTCTTCATTCTTCTTTCCTCTTCCTGTCCATCGATGTGTCTTTCCTGCTGCCCCTCTGCTGCGTTCCTTATCTCCTCTTCCTCACCTCTCTCCTATCATGCTATCACCTCCGCACACAAGGAGCTGAAAGAGATTAGCTGGGATCAGGTGAGTAACATCAATACGTCCATTAAACACTTTCAAACTGATGGTGCCATTAGATAGTTGAGACTAAATTATCTTTAAGAATAAATGAAGTGTGTATTCGTATCAAAATCACATAAAATCGCTTAACTGCTGTTTCCTTTTTGATAAATGGAAGAAGGTAGGTCAGAGCTCAACAGTAAGGATTTTTTTTTTCTGGCCTCAAGACCAAAAAATATAAATGTGTCTGTTTTATTCATTTAAATTTCAGATTTTACATTTTTGATTTTCCAAATTTTAAATGTATATTCAATAATAATACATAAAATAAAATAAATAAAATGTTAAAATAGTTTAAAATAATTATTGTTGCCAATGTATTGTTTACAATTTTACGTTTTAAATAATATATTTGTTATTTAATATTTATTTTAAATTTAATATATACAATTTTCTATTAAATATTCATCTTAGTTTAGTTATGTTAAATGTTTTCTCTTCCAAAGAAAATGTGTGGTAATAGCTGTAATAGCAATATATACTATTATAGTATTTAAAAAAAATATTTATTAGCTTATATATATATATATACAAATTTCAAAATTATACAGTCTAATTTAGATTAAAAACCATGCATGCAGCATCTCTTTTTGTATTGTGATTAAAATACAGTGGTTGCCTCTAATTTTCAATGGAAAGAGCACAGGCAAAGCCTTAGTTTGTTTATATCAGGGTGTCCGCGGGTCCTTAAAAGGTCTTAAAATGTCTTAAATAACGTTTTCCTAATATAAGGCCTTAAAAAGTCTTAAAAAGTCTTCAATTCGGAATCGATGGGTCTTAGTCTTAAATTTAACTTGTTCATGTCTGCAGAAACCCTGTATATGAAGATATTTTTTTTTATTTGTATTATTTATTTGATGTGGGGTTTGTTTTAAAATATCAATTATAAAACGGATAGTTCCGATCCTTGATTCTGATTGGTTGAGCCGCGTTCGAAGCTGTTGTAAATTACTCTACAAACATACACATGTTTGTTTCTGCAACTGTGTGTTGCTCAGCAACCACTTTGTTGCAACCACAACCGTTTCTGAAGAACTACATTGTTTGGTGGAAGAAGGATGTTTTTATCAATATCGTTACATTTTATTAGCTTTGTTTTATTTTGTGAAACCTTGCTACGTATATGGAATAACCGTTTTATAAAAGCAATAAGCCCTTCGAAGCCGTGGTTTACAGTGAATTTATAACAGCTAAGGGGGTTTTAGGCACTCCGCTCCGCGTGTTAAGACATGCTTTTTTTGGGCATTAAATAATGCCGCAAATACCAATGAATTGACAAGCGCAAATCTTAGTAAATCACGTTGCGTGATTCATTTAAATACTCTCCTCCCATAAATTTACAGATTGAAAGGGAAACTCCAACAAATGCGTTTTCAATAAGGTGAGTCGCAAAAATAACTGCCTTTTCAGCGCTAATTTCCCACTTAGTAAATCCTGACAGTAGTTTTAACGCCAAATGAGGGTTTACGCTGGCTCTGTTATGAAAGATTAATCAAATAAATCCTGTTGTTTTGAACTTTCTGTTCATCAAATAATTGTGAAAAAATGTATCACAGTTTCCACAAAAATATTAAAGAGCACAGTTGTTTTCAGAAGACTGGAGTAATGGCTGCTGAAAATTCAGCTTTGCCATCACAGGAATAAATTACATTTTAAAATAAATTAAGCTAGAAATCATTTATTTTAAATTGTAATAATATTTCACGATATTAGCATTTTTACTGTATTTTTGGTCAAATAAATGCAGCCTTGGTGAGAATAAGAAACTAAACATTTTTCTCGACCCCAAACTTTTGATTGCTAGTGTACTTTTTATTCATTCCTTTATACTAACTAGTTCATCCAGGAAGACTTGCTTAGTTTTGCATTCTGCGTTATACTGATCCACCTGCTAAACCAGTACTAAACCAGCATAAACCAGTCTGCATGAGCATGAAAGTCCAAGTTGGTCTAAGCTGGTAGAGCAGGAATCTCATGACATTCTCTGGTGGTTTTCCAAGTTCTCTTTGGGTTTTATCATGTTAATATTTGCTTTGCATCATCAATCAATTCATACAGCAGAACAGTCTGATAAACAAAATGTACAAAAGGGAAAAAGCAACAACAGTCACTTGTGGAATGCACAGTTCATCAAAACATCAGACAGTGAATGAGAATATGGCAGAGAGAGAGAGGAAGGGTGTTTACACAGAATGCATTTGTTAATAATAACATACATTACCAGCAATGACGTCTGGAAAGCGTTGAGCGGCCCAGCCTTCCATTATGCACAGGATTCAATGGCACAATAGAGATTTCACATTTGAAGAGTCAACTGATCAAAGCACAAAGCACAGATCGCATTATTAATCTCACAGTTGTGAGTTGTTTTAAAGGTGCAGTTACCGCCTCATTCAGTACCTTGATTAGAAACAGATGCCTTTGCTGATCTAGAAGTTATTCATCGCGTAGCAACACAGATGCCTTCATGCCATTTGAGACTATATTAAGCATGAGTGAATAGCTTTGCATGCACACATCTCTCTGCTCACTGTGGTGCAGGGATACTTTTGTGAGCATTGCTACATGCAAAGTGAGTCTTTAAAAATACTAAGAATTTAAAACGGTTACATGTAATCTTTAGTAAATGTCAAAATTAATTTCCATTTTTCATACTGTACAATACTGCAATGTTTTGATGCCTACATATACCTGCTGTATTCCAATCAATTGTTTGTAGTGTTTTATTTTTTTTATTTAAAAGATGTTTTAATGTTAGACATTTATCAGTTATTGGTATTTCATTATTTTAAAATCAGTGCGTTTCCAACTACAGTACATGAAAACACATTAAAACAATCAATAGCCAGATCTATTGGATATTTCGGGATGATTAACTGTGGTTACTAAGACATGTAACCAAGTGTTATTTTGGTATTACTATATACTATAATAGCATTTATTAATATTTGGAATTAGCTTTTATTTTTATATTTTCATTTTAGTTTTAGTAATTTTGTTATGTCAATTTTATTATTAAATATTTCTATTTAGCTTTATTTTTTATTTCCATTTTGGTCTTTGCAATTTTAGCACTTTAACTTATTTTATTTCAATAGTTTACCAAGGCAACATTTTAAATCTTTTCTTAGTTTAAGTTTTTCATTTAATAAAACGTATTAACTTATTCTTTCTTTCTTTCGTTCTTTCTCAGCTTTCTTTCAATCAGTGACAATTGTTTGTAGTAGTTTTAGTTTTGTTTAACAGTAGCAATGCTGGCTAAACCAGGCCCCTAGTTCATGGCATGTTGTCATCAATAGCTTTTCCACCCTTTACAGACAGAAATCTACAGAATATGCAGTTATCTGAAGCTGTGAGGGTGTTTTAATATAGTCACCATCATATTAAATGACTCGGTAGGAACGGTTTGACTGTTTTCCATGATTGCATTCCTTCCTTTGAACTTTGGTTTGGAGAAGCTGAATCAACAAAACAAATGCAAAGCCCATGCAATCCCCTGGAAATACAAAACAGAGACAAAGACTTTGTCTGAAACAAAAACACATGTGTCCAAATGTTGCATTGGCCATAAGAGGTCCATCTGAAAGATCAGGAGCTACTGAAACAAAAGATGAAATCCAGAGGCATCACCCAAGATGGAAATCGATGATTATCCAGCGATAATGATCAGTGGTTAACACCCTCCTGCAATTATATTCATAGTCCAGCCCTTGTGTTTCCTGTCTAGATGTGATGGTGTGGTCAAACGAGCGTGTGATGTGCTGGGTGCAGTCCATCGGCTTGAAGGAGGATGCAGATAACCTGACTGAGAGCGGTGTGCATGGTGCCCTGCTCGCCCTGGACGACACATTTGATTACACTGACCTCGCCCTGCTCCTGCAGATACCCAATCAGAACACACAGGTACAATGACAGCACTCCTCACAAATATATATTTGTGTTTTACACACTTTCAGACATGACCAGTGTTGGGGAGTAACTAGTTACATGTAACGGAATTACGTAATTTAACTACAAAATAAACGTAACTATAATCAGTTACAGTTACTGAAAATGTTAACGATTACAAAGGGGGTTACATCTGAATTTTATCACACACATACACACACACACACACATGCAGATTTAACTGATTTCTTTCATAAATTACATTGACTGCGAGGCATCAATATTTAGGATACACAATACGTCACATTCTTATTAGACAAATGTTTTATTTCCTTATTGGGTTTATGTGTTTATTTTAGGATTTAACTATTTTTTTCCAAGGCATTGTTAGACACCAGTGTTTCCTGTCATATGCAAAGATTTGATTTTGATTTGACAAAAACAGTATTATAGCTAGTAAAATATTTCCTGTTATGATTTTAAATCTGTTTTTAACCTCAGAATGATCTCAAAGTAAAAAGAGGTGCCAAAGTCTGATTTTGTGGTGGCTGTGCTTTAAAATTTAATTATTATAATCTTAATTCAAGTGATGAAGGATTTCGAAAGTAATCAGTGTTAAGTACTTCTGTAAGGTTACCCTGCCTGCTTTAAATGTTTGAAAATGATTAACAGAAAGACAATCAAAAAGTAATTAAATGTAATCAGTTACATTACTTTTATGAAGTAATTGAAATAGTTACACTAGTTATAGGGTAACTTGTAATCTGGAAGCTATTACATTTCCAAAGTAACCTTCCCAACACTGGACATAACCTATATTCTAACACATTCAATTAGATTTACATTACAAGAAGCTTTTATCTAAAGCGAATTACAGATGAGGAATACAAAAAGCAATTCATCTTAAGGAGGCAATAAACAAAAGAATGTCTAGTAATACAAAGTTTCAGACATTGTTTCAAAGCTGGAACAGGGAGGGAGTAAAGCATAGATGAAATTATTTATTTATTTCATATTTTAAGCAGGATGCAGTTAAGTGCTCATCAAAGAGATGAGTTTTCAGCTGTTTCTTTAATATTGTCAGGGATAATGATTAAATTCATTATGCCACTAAATGGAAGTTAATACAGATCATGTATAAAAATAAATTTTATGGAATCAACCTGTCACATATGAATGCATCAAAATGTCTGCATTTTTATGCAAATTTCAGATGGAAAATGCGCATACTAAAAACATATTTATTTAGGGTGAATAAATGTTATTTGATAAGAAAACATGTTAATAAATTCTTACATGCACATCAAGTCATGATTTTTTTTCTTTTGAACAAATGGGATAGAAGCATTTCTTTCCTCACACATTGTTTCTGTAATATTCCAATTTACTAATAAATGAAATTTACTCATAAAATAAATATTTATATATACAGGCAGTCTATTTATACAGTAGATGTATTTTTTGCATGAAAACCCTGTTGATTCATCAAGTCTCCAAACAATAAGAGCTTTATAGATGAAAGCAGTGCCTACTCATTACTCCTGACCGGACTGGGTTGATTACATGTAAAGGATGTTTATTCCACATCCAGGCACGACAACTTCTGGAGAAGGAATACAACTCTCTCATCGCCATGGGAACAGAGAGGAGGCCAGACGAGGTGAGCAGCATGGGACATGAACACAGCTGGATGTTGATCATCCTTTACCTCCCACCACTGAAAGTATAATGACACTCCTCTCACAGGACTTTCAACAGTCAGATGCATTTTGATGACATGACTGATCAGAATTAGTCACTTCTGAGTGACTGGACTCACTAACATGGATTCTGGTGTTTTTCCTCTGTTCCCGTGTCCTCTAGGATGGCACTAAGACATTCACCCGCTCCCCTTCATGGAGGAAGATGTTCCGGGAGAAAGATCTGAGGGGCGTGACCTCTGACTCCTCAGAGACCTTGCCTGCTAACTTCCGTGCCTCAGCCATCTCTACCCCCTCAGTCACCCTGAGGAAGGTCCAGAGCGATGGTGAGCTCGCACGTTCTCCACTGTCAAGCCACTTTTTTCATTTTAATAATCCTATTACAGTTTTTTTAACAATCGCTAGGACACATTGCTAAATACTTTCTTTTTTTTAACTCCTCACACAGTTCTCCTTAGCAATTTTTAGTTTCACACAGCTGTAAATTTCACACCCAAAATGCACTGAAACTGAAAAAAAACAGATCAGATCAAGTCGTTTACAATAATTCCTTAACACTAGCAAAGCTTGTCAAGCGACAAAAACACTTTGTCACTCACAAAATGATGACCTAAAAACACAAACAAGTAGCATTACCTAGTGTTTACTTTTGTTACATTTCTTTACGAAACAAGAATGACAGCAGTTTAGAATTCACTGCAGAATATGTTACATGGTTTATGTTTACATTACAGTACAAAATTGTTTCCGAATTGTCCCCTTTTGAATAGGCCTTAATGCAATTACCAGCTACATCTAATTGTTTTGATAGTATTTAATTTTTTAGATTAGCAATATATTCCAGTATGGTATTACTGTAGTATGTCTTATTCAGTTGTGTTTTAGGAGTTTTTGCAGTGATTATGTCTGAGTGAGAAAGAGATTCATGTAAACTGAAAGATGTCTGAAACTGACAGGGGTCAGGAAATAGCACAAGCCATTTCCCAGGAGCACGTGTCACGGGCACGTGTGCTAACCATTTAAAAATGTGCAGTTGTGAACTCATTTTGTAGGATTTTGCCAAATTTCTGTGATTTGTGTGTTTGTCAGATTTTTGAATGGCACTCCGAGTATTATAAGATCCATTGAGAAAATTGATATACAAAACTAGATACCAGTACAAGATGTGGAGATATTTTCAGTTATACTACTGCATGAATTTTGTTTGATCGCTTTGTGTGCGAAATATAGCATACTAACAATACATAATACAACATACACGTGACCAGTAAGCAGACATACAGTACATTATACTATTTCACGGCAATCAATAGAATAGGACATACCATAATTCAGATAAGAAATTATAAATAAGAGGGAAAGATTAATGCAAAGATTGGACCTAAAGATAAGCGAGGCTTTGTGGAAATCCCCACAATTAGGTCTGAAATAACTTTATGACAGAGGGATGTTGTGTTAGTTATCAGATAAACTTTGTAAGAAGATTGCTTCCTTATGAGAAAGTGGTGCCAAAGTGACGTGACGTGACATATGGTGACCCATACTTGGAATTAGTGCTCTGCATTTAACCCATCCAAAGTGCACACACACAGCAGTGAACACACACACACCGTGAACACACACCCGGAGCAGTGGGCAGCCATTTATGCTGCGGCACCCGGGGAGCAGTTGGGGGTTCGGTGCCTTGCTCAAGGGCACCTCAAGTCGTGGTATTGAAGGTGGGAGAGAGCGCTGTACATTCACTCCCCCCACCTACAATCCCTGCCGGCATGATACTCGAAACCACAACCTTTGGGTTACGAGTCCGACTCTCTAACCATTAGGCCACGACTTCCCCATGAATGCTGTATAATGCTATTTAGAAATACATCTCTCACTTATCTGTTTCTTCAGCATCTCCGAGGGCAGAGTCTGGCTCAGTGAGGACCTACTCCTGTTGAGGGACTGCAAAGGTGAGATTTAATAATTTTTCAATTACATAGATATATTATTGTACATAATTTGAAAAAATAAATAAATATATATAAATAAATACAAAAATACTTGCCTACCAGACTTTCTAAATCTAGAAAGCTAAACAAAAAATATTTTGAACTGAACAGGATAAAGAGAAAAGTATGTCATGGAAGTATTTAATGACTGTGTGTGGGCAGGGCCCCCAAGATTTGCGGTACACCACTACCAATGATTACCCTCTGCTGATGCCTGTAAATACCAAATCATGAAAATCTGCTCATTTATGAGTTTGACTGAAGCACGTTTAGCATTCTGTTGGGTTTCCTTGGGTTGCTGTAATGGAGTAGACACCTCCGTATTTTGCATGCCCTTTATATGTCTGTGTCATTAAACTTGTTTTGGAAAGGATGTTGCTTTTCATGTTTTTATCATGTGCTTTGGGTTTGTGTGTGAATCATCATCAGGCCCACATGGAGTCTGTGGCCACAAAACTTTGTAGAATTCTTGAGTCCTTCACACACAAACACACCCCTCGTTCATTCATTTATGATAATACGTCCAGCTACCTATAGTGTAATACTTTCAGCACATTTTAACACTTTTAACTGGTTTAAAATGCACAATTTATCCTAAATTCAGATCAGAAAAAATAAAAAACAATCTGCAGATTCCATCTGTATGGAAGCCCATTTTCACCACACAGGAAAAATAATAATGCATTGCTAATTTTCATAAGTTTCAAGAAGTGTAATAACTGTCATAATTATGACTTTTTATCTCAATTTTTATTTTGTCTTTATCTCAGTTACGACATGATTGTGGTGGAAATTGGCCTCCATAAATCAGACTTTATTGAGGCTTTATTGATGAACGTCTACACGAAATGCTGACAATGTGTCGTAATTGTGTCTCTCGCACACAGGAGGCGCCGTTGTCAGAGAGCTGGAACCGGCTTTACACTTCATTCACGGGGAGGAGGGGGGATAAGCAGAAAAAAGCAATGAATATATACATTTATAGATATAACTCTACTGGTCTGACCATTCTGCAATAACAGAAGAGGGATGGAGAAAGAGCAAAAAAAAGGATAAAAGACATGAAGAATGTACGACACAAGAGAGTGGTAAGAAATGGGATGGTTGGAGGAATCGGATGACTGTTTAATCTTTCTTTCTGTCGTTCTCTCTTCTCACTTCCTGTGTCTGTGCTGATGGGACATCTGTAGATGAACTCTCTCGTCTTTCCATCCTTCATTTCAATGGCGCTGCCCGCAGCCCTCGTTCCTCAGAAAGGCTTTCGTTGACCGCCTGCAATTGGTCTCTTGAGTCTCTCGATAGCAAAGGATGTTTGTGGCAACTCAACCTGGACTTCAGGGATGTTTACATACGGTAAGGTTCAGAGGAAGTGTACTTAAGAGCACAGTCGAGGGGCCAGGCTGTGTGAGGCCAAGACTTCGCTGTACGTGTTTCTCAATCAGCACAAGCTGAGAAAGACCGCAGCGAGAGCTACGTGCGAGGCTGCCAAGGGCACAATTCTTGCTCAGTTCCTACTAGGTGTTTTTTTTTTTTTATCTTCAAACATTTAGATTAAAGACTAAAGGTCAGCAGAGAGAGTCAGCAAATGAAGGGAAGCTGGTGGTGGCAGATAGATAGATGCTTGCGGACAAAGCAAGTGACCAGCAGACACGAGTCCTGATGGACAGAATCATTCTAACAACGCAAGCCATAAAAAGACAACAAGAGGTGAACCGAGGAGGAGGAGAAACGGGGGGACGGGGTGGGAGGGAGGGACAAAGTGAGAGAAAACGTTTAGCTTCTGTGTTGCGATGCATGTCAAACAACCAAGACGACAACGATCTAAAACCTTCGGGGAATAAGACGATATGAAGTCAAAAATAAAAATTATGTGTACATTAACATATGAGGTTAAGAGCTTGGGGAACAATTTGTAAAATGTGTGTATTTTCATTTTTATGATAACTATATTTATTTTCTTTATGTATGTATTGAATAACTGTATGTACATGTTCATTTAATAATTCTGACTAATTTAATTTGATCTAGTTTAAAGCGTAAATATGAAATATTAAAAAACACGGTTATTAAAATATGCTACTTGTATGTGTACATTTTGACAAAATTGTGTTACGATTTAAAAACAAACCATTACCGTGGATGAAGATGACAGTGATTCAAATTGAAAATGATGTCTGAAAAATAAACAATAATGATGATGATGATAATGATGAAAATCAAAATAAAATAAAGCGTTCCTAATGGTACTGGAGAGTTCAGCGTGCTCGTGATTTTCAGATGCTCATTTGTGTGCGAGGAGAGCTTTGTTTGAATTCCACCACTGCAAATCAAAGTACTTCCTGTTTTTTATTACAAAACAAATAGAACTACAATCACATATTCATATTTGTGTTTTACTAAAGCCCCTCTCACTCTTCCATCTACTTTGTAAAAAAACATATACAAAAGTATCTACCTTACAAAGATTACATAATACTTTTATTACAATAACTCAATGTGAAAAATGACATCAGACCCTGTGTACAAGACTTCCACAGCTTTCTCAATACAGTAACCAGGGAATTTCTTCCAACACTCATTTTTGAACTGTATTTCTGTAACATTTGCTGAGTGAACAGTACATGGGTGAACAATCGTAGCGGACACTGAAAGCGAGGCGGCACATGTTTTGGGACAGGCATTTGAAGGACACTTAACGAGAAAGCCTTCATCTGCAATTACAAATTCTGCTGACCTCTAAACAGCTCAATTGTTTTTGGTTATTATAAATACACATATATTTGCACGATGTATATGTTTCACATATTGTACAGAAATATATTAATATCAAGTACGTACGCTTACATACTAATTCAACAGTAATAACTTATTGTCTGTATACTATAGATACAATAAAACAAATGCAACAATATACGAAAAGTACGGAAAAATCGTTCTCAGTATTGAGGTTTTCTTGTTTGTGTGACTTTACACACTGGCCTAGCGAGACGTGGATATGGACTGGAGGAAAGACAGCAGAGTGGAGGAACTCATCGTCACCTCGTATAACTTCAAACCCGTATACTGTTTCATGAAACACTAAATAAGTTGCAGTGAATGCACCTAGAAAAAAACAACAATTGAATGACTAACATTTCAACCGCATCCTTACATGACTTGACAAGACTTGGAATATGATCAAAGACTTATATTATTACCCAAGACAGTTCACTTGTATTGCTATGAATGGGCAAAATGGCAACACAACATGGCAGCTCTAGTAATCTAGCAAGTCCCACCCTCTAAATTAAAGAGCTATTAGAATCTCCCATAAATCTGAGACTTGTGCTTGGGATTGCACACTGGCAGGACCAACCTTAAATATATGCTTTTTTTAACGCTATTAGAGCCACCTGGAGGCACTGCAAATATGGCTACAGTGAACTGAATTTTCTTAAAAGGTACTTTGATATAGCCCATACAACCATGGATTAGTTTCATAGTACTTTTTCGGAGCGTAACAACTTACTGGGTTTTGTTGTATGAAATTCACTAAATATACAATATTTGGACACTTAAGCCACATTTAAAAATGTATCATGTTTTTCACATTATATGTGAAAATATCAAAACGAGGCACTTCTTTTTAAAGAAACATTGCACAAGCACACTTTTTATTGTTACTGGTCTCAAATTCTTTCAAAATGAAGACAAAAAGTCATTTTGGGTGTCAAACTGATTAATATTTCATATGTTATTATAACTATTCTGCTAGAAAACCTGCATAAACTTGAGGAGAACTGACTTCATACACCTTGGTAAAAACAACTTAAAAAAAAAAGTGGCTCAGAAAAGTGAAAAGCTTGGGCATTATTTGTTTGCAGATGCCATTTGGTTTGATATTCAGTATCTAATGCATTGAAATGCAAACATGTTTAAAAGTGACTTAGGCTGATGATACACGGGGCAAATTTTTGAGCAATTTTGCCGGGCAACTTTTTTTGAGCAATGTTGCTTAGGCACTTTCCCATTGAGAATGGGTAACAAATTTCTATCTAGATACTTTAGATCGGTTGTGGGCCCTGTGTCTCACCTGGTTGCCCGTTGATGGCAACCTTGCCCAAAATTGCCCGGCAACATTGCTCAAAAAGTTGCCCCATGTATCATCAGCCTTAGTGTCCAAAAACTCCACCACTGTATCCATTTGTGTTCCACAGGAGAAAATAAATCATACAGGTTTTGAGCAACATGAGGGTGATTTTCATGACCATCCCTCAGCGAGACACTGGGGTACAGCGATAAGGTTTTGTCAGGTGCGATGCAGGAACATCTGGAAAAGAAATATCCCCCACACAGTGGACCAGAACAGATACAGTCCCTTAAACGCTCTTTTATTCACATGAACTCTGCGTCAATCCTTTGTTCAGACAGTCCGAGCTATCTGTAACTTCTGCCTTCTCGCACTCTGCCCCTCTCCAACTTCTTCTCAGTGTAGTACGTTCCTCTAGTGAGCAGCACGCAAACGCAGGAGGAGTCAATACGGATCCACCTCCATCCTATCCTCTTGTTTTCATCCGAGGTGAGCGCACGTACGTACGACTGCTTGGTTTCGCACCTGCTCATCCAGTGTTTCTTATCCACCCCCAAGCAGCTGGCCCCCTCCACCGCCTGCACTTCACCTTTCCTATTTGAATCTGGCTTACGGCACTTTGTTTCATAGAAATACTGCTTGAGCGGCCCAGTCTGGGTCTGGATCTCTTGCAGAATAGTGACGGTGTTGCTCCGAAAGTCCACCGCCGTCTTCTTGTTGGTCACCCACCCGCTTTCGGCCTCGCATACGGAGCGTTCCATGCCTTGTGCGCTGTGGACGGCTTGCCGCTTGCGGCGGACACCTGGAACCGGGCCGTCAGAATCAGAGAGACCCAAGAGTAAGTTTCTGTATGCTTCTTTGTCACCTCCGTGACCAGACGTGGCAGCATCCATCATGTGACTTTCCTCGTCCTCAACGTCATCGGCCAATAAGCCCAACTCCAGCATTAAGAGCAGAGGCGGGTGTTTGGGTGGGGAAAGGGCCGGGGAGAAGAGTACCCGTGGATGGGCGTCCAGCAAAAGCAGCTGATCTTCTTCTCGTAGGCCTATGTCATCAAACCCAAAGCCCGGTTCTGCTCCAAAGCCTCCAGATTGCTGCAGCAACTCTTTTGCATTTGTCTGAGCTTCGTCCAGATGTTCCTGCACTGGAGGGCTCTGCAGAGAGACCTTCGGACCTTCAAGAGGCCCGTCTTTCAGTTCACTTCTTGCGTTCCTGTCGTCTTTAAGTACAGTCTCTGCCTCAATACTGCTTTCTTCATGAAACTGGCTATGTTCAAGCTGATAGTCCTTGAGAATATCATTGCTTTGGGAACTGGCTATTTTTTGTGATTTGTATTTCCTAGGATTATGCGGCCTGGAGGCATCTGCTCCGGTAGTCCTTCCTCCACCTGTGTGGTCCTGCTTTGGGTTATTGACAAAAATGTCTTCTGTTAGAAGATTCTCTTGGTTTGCTCTACCTCTGGATATATGGTCCTCCTCAAATGTGCTCTGCTTATCGTCTGTTCTGTGAGGAGCTATGTCATGTGTGCTGTAGTTGTTGTGAGAAGAGTCATGGTCCACTGATGAGTTGGTCGGGATGCTGCTGCTGCTGCTGTCATTTCTGCCAGGCTCTATCATTGCGGCAACAAGCCTGGGCACAGGACTTTGAGGGAAAGGCAGGGCCGAGGCGATCACCATGGCAACCAGGGGAAGCCAGTGCATCACTCCCAAGACGTGTCAACTACGAGTTGATAAAAAAGCAAGTATTAGAAAGCGCATAACGAGGAAGAACAGTGGAGTTTAAGATGACATCACATCACATATTTACTTTGGAATGATTAGAATGTTAGCGTAACAAAATTAATCTGAGTGTAACAGATTATCGAAACAAAAAAAGAATAATTCCCGCACACTATCCGCACTTGCAATTGTATCAAAATATAAATGTATTATTCACTCACAACGTTTCGGTCCCATGACCTTCATCAGGTATATACAGACAGTTCTGACAATCCAATTGAAAAACAACACATGACCAATCACTGCGACACGTGGACACATCATTACCAATCAATGATGTAATACATTATTAAACCTACCTCATCATAAATTTTGATACAATTGCAAGTGCGTAGGGTGTGCGGGATTTATTCTTTTTTGCTTTGATGTTGGACCTGTTTTTTGGTTGTTTTTCCTACGCACCTATTGATTACCTACAATTGTCCAAGTGTAACTGTTGATTGGTTGTTGATTGGATGGAGGCAAATCTGAATGCTAGCTTGCTGTTAATTGTAATAAATTGATGGGTTTTACCGGAAAGGTCCAGCATACCTCACTAGAGAGAGGTTTCACCAGAAGATCATTTGAAACTTTGATTAAAAGTTACCAAAAAAAAAAACATATGTATGGATGAACTGCTCACAATAAGATCTATAATATGCATTTGGAAAATAGATAGGGTACGTTTCATTTTATGCTGACTTGAGAATAAGAAATAAAGTCACAACTGGGAGATAAAATTCGCAATTACCGTTGTATACTTTTTTACTCTGAGGCGGAAACAGGATTTCAAAAGAACAGGCTCAATGCCAGCTCATAAAAATAAGGTAAAATAAGCCTAAAACTGTAAAACTATAGCTTTACAGCTTTGGCATATGTTAGTGGAAAAAAGATGCAAAATTG